GCACTCGACACGCACGATCTCCGCAGAGGGTTGCGCGTCAAGTCTCCAAAACGAGCGCTTCGTACGAGACTTCCTCAAAAACTCACTCGTCAAAGTCTGCAAAACGAGCGTTTCGTACGAGACTTCCTCCAAAGGTCAAGCGGAAACACCCGTCGGAGCACACACATCACGCAGCCCTGCCAAGCAGTTTCGCGATTCCAGCCCCTCCAAACAACGTCCGCTCACACGCCAATCCCAATGGGACAGCGACATTCACCTCTACCACAACTCACACCCTCACAATTCCCTGCGCCTGCCACGAATCTTTCCGCGTCCACGCGTCTGACGCGCATAAAGTACTGCGCCTGCCACGACATGTCACCTCCGTCACATCTCGCAACCTCATGATTCCCTGCGCCTGCCACGAGAATCGCACTTCCGCGCCTCAAAGCCCGCACAAAGTCCTGCGCCTGCCACGAAAAGGGACAATATCATCTCATGTGAGCTTCAACAAAATTTGCACCACACCACACGTTTGGAATGATTTCGACCCGTGCACACTCCCATCCACCAAAATCGCCATTTCAGCTGAGAGTTGTCACGAAAACAGCGCTTCGATGCCACACCCTGTAACGCAAATCCCAATGGCACGGCCACATCCAACACCCCAAAAACACGGCTCTCCAAACGCTAATCCCAATGGAACAGCGCAGCAATCTGCCGATCTCACAAAACGCTGCGCCTGTCCAGCGAAACGCATCACGTTTCTCGCGCGACATGTCCTGGTCCAGCAAATCACAATGGAATAGCGGCGCAAACTGACACGTGACACGTCCATGCAAAGTCACTTGCAAAAGCTTCCCCCAATGGCAGCAAATTTGAGACGCGACGACGACGACACGACAACGACAGACGACGACAGGCGACGACAAACGACGAGAGACGACGACAAACGACGACACGACGCAGGCCATGCAAACACAGCTCCAACCCCCAGACCCCCAACTATAAACGGGAACCCTTCGCTACGCATTCGGGAACAACAACATCCACGTGGCTGGTCTGAGCTTCTGTTGCTTCATCCTGGGCTTCAGAGTGGTGATGGGTTCCCATTGTTTCTCCATGATCTGCTTTCAAGATTTGGTTTGTCGGGGTCATGGAACTTATATACATGCTGCATAATCATGTATATTATCATCTACAACACGCTCGCTCTAAGCTCTCACACAGGTACAAGCCAGGTTGGATCAAGAAATCCCACAAAAAGGCGAGACGAGAAGGAACCAAACAAATTGGTGAAGCACGTCTCTGCCCTGATCCAGTCTTTGCATGACTCAATTGGATGTTTCTTGGTTCAGTTCATCTCTGAAAAAGGGCTCCACTACACCTGAGGCTGACCCCCTCAGTTTCCCTAATCTTTTCCCACCTGTTGGATTAACAAAGGTACAACCAACAGGTGCTGCTTCAAAGCTCCAGCCAGGCCGCTGCAGCACCTCTCGCTCATGTACAGTATATAACCTTTTTTGCCACGCGCAGTGGAAAGCTAACGACTGGATGCTATCCTTCAGGATGGGATCTCAACTACTAACCCTTCAAAGCAAACAAAGAAGGACCAAAAACCATGTCACAGCGGGAATCTTTATGGAACCACACAGTGTACGTCACCAATTTTCCCATCTTGTTCGGAGCATCCAGTCTCTAACCCGGGGACTCCTGAGAGTCGGCTCCAATCAGCTGGCATGACAGAATCGAATCTAGGAGCGACATGAACACCTGAAGCACGGGCTTCACAGGTTTTAGCTTCCTTAAAAAACAATCTGTGTAGAACAGTGTGGAACATAGAGACAGAGACACGTAATCTTCGCAATATAAAGACATACTACAGTATCTTGGCGATGGTCAAACCGTGGCGAATCCAGCACATGCATACATAATCATACATGTGTATATATACACATGTGTATATAGTTACATATATATATATTAACATCATGTAATTAATTGCAGTATATTAAATGAACATCGTCGCTGGAAGTTGACTCATGGAGCTTGGATCCTCTTTCCATTGATCCATGGCTTCACATAATAATGAAACCATATGACACCAACTTTCGATGACCTCCACTGCTTTTCCTCCTTTTTTGGAGGCTGAAACATCGCTTTCGGAATCGGTGATGTCAAAGACTTCACACCAAGACTGTCCTTTCGAGGTCACCCACTGAGACCGAGACCTGTGTTCGGGTCCTTCCCGACCCTCAAGACCAGTTGGAAGGTACTGGCATGAAATGTTTGATCCAAAGACTATCAATCGGATGCACTATACATGACAGAGGGTAACAAAAAAGGGAAGCTGGTGCAGAAATTAGACAAGTCATCCACTATACAGACTACAGAACAGCCTCTAAGCCTCTAATTACATGGAATCTACCTCATGTTTCTTTCAGTCAAACCAGCTGCAAAGGCCACCAGTGTGGCCTGAGGGTATTTACGGCACGCAGCCCTTCAGATCACCTGCCAGCAAACGGTGTCTGGGTCCGGTCATGACACCAGAACACCTGCCATTACCCTGAAAGGGCGGGCCGCCCCGCTTGGCCGAACAGGCCACAAGCCAACCCAGCTGAGCCGCTCCAGTGCGGTCCAACTCCCTTGGTTTTGCTTCTTGGATGAGTTGAACTATGTTCGCTATGTTGAACTTATCGGAATGGCCCCATGGAATATGCTGTGACGCATAGCTGTTCTCTTTGGCGATCGCTGGGCCGTTTCCAAATCTGCGTGCGTATGAGACCATTGGTATCTGTGATGGCTTTTCATATCAACATAATATTGGCTCGCCCCGGAGAATCCGCTGGGAACCCCACCAGCACCTTGTACGGAAAAAGACACAACTGAAGGCTTTATTTGGTTGCGGAGCTCTTAACCCATGCTCCCTTGCCAAACGACTTTCACATACTTCTGTACCTCAAGGTCCCCACCCTGCCTCTGGCATTAGTTCTTGATCCCTCATCGCTCCAACGCTGCGGAAAATCACCCAGCCATTGGAAAGGATTAAGAATCATGAAGTCATGAAGTCATTTTCAGTGCTTGGCCCAATGAGTTAGTTCTTCTTCCTCATCTCTTTGCACCTCTCAGAGCTGAACACACATCACATTCCATCACCTCCTCCCCCATTCTTCGCGTCCTTCCTCCTCCCCCGCTCGCCTCATCGACGCGTCCGGCTCACCGGTCGCCTCCTCGGGCTCTTTCTGGTCCAAGAGCTGCCGATGATGCGACCGGACCATCTCCTCCTGAGGCCCGATGCGGACGGTCCAACGACAAACGGGGGACACACGAGGGAAGAACCGATCCGGATCTCCGCGAAAGCCATCGAAAATAAAACAACAAGTGGATGCAAGTCAGCTGCTAGTTGATTTGATATCAACGACTCGGTTCTCTCAGAGTCTTAGAGTAAACAACTGATGATGGCTTAAAGATAGAGTAGTATCCAAACCCATGGTCAAATAGAAAAGTAGACCAACGCCTGTGGGTTGCAGCCTCTGGTTCTGTTGAGCCCTTCATGATAATCCGGCTTTGGGGCATCAGACTTTTTGACCACCGAAAGCTGGCTCCCTAACGAGCCCATGCCCGATCACGCTCGCATGTCGCGCCCACATGATCTCACCTCCATGGTATCACGCACAAAGAAGCGGTACCTCGGTAGTGCTTCCATTGCTCAATGCGTGTTGATTGGTTGGAACAGGGAGCATGCCGTTGCTGTGCAACTCTCTGCATTGCACATGAAGAATAAGTCAACACCACTGTCAACACCCTGTGTTCGCTCTCAGTGAGGTTCTCTTAGCCGAAGCATGAATTGATGCTGATTGTTATAGAATATAGAATTGTTCGAATGCCCAATGCCCAATCTAGCTTCCAAAGTGTGGGCGGTCATCAGCTGGGGGAGCTCGAGCTTGTGGAGCTTGTGGAGCCCGGCCTTCGAGCTACTCTCCCCCAGCTCATCGCCAAGCAGCACATGTACTTGTTCCTTCTGTCCTTGCCGCCGCACCCGTCCGATGGCCTGACGCTCGGGCGCAGACCCGGACGCATGGCAGACCGACCGATGGGACCTTCCGATACTTGAAGCGGTGGACTGGTCGGGCTTGGTTTGATCCTTTTGTGCAGTGGTTGCAGCTTTCTGTGTCCCAAAATAGTCCCAAAGAACCTAAGACCCCACCTCCAACACCCCGTCTCCAGAGAACAGCCCGAACAAGCTCCTGTACCAAATCCAACTCGTAGACATGACTCACAAGTTTGAACCAAGCGCAAAGCGCTGTTGCACTGGTTAGTTTCCCACACCTCCATGGGTCAACTGAATACACTGCAACTTGTTTTTGACACGTCCCCAACGACACCACTCCAGCTTCCCGCCCTGGCCCGGGGCTGGGAAGGCGGCGGCCTGTCGCTCGAAGCTGAGGGCCGCTTCCTTGCTTTCGGCCAGCATAGGATGCACCAGGATGAGGTGATGGCAGCCTCGGCACGAGTCAGGGATGGTCAGTCGGGGGCAACCCAGAATGAATCAGGCCACCGAAGGCCCCGGCTACTTGAACCGGACATAACACCGTGGCTGTTGAAAGCTTGTTTGATATTGTTTGGTCAATTCCTCAGCCGCTTGGCTACAGCATGAGAGGGAGCGGATACATCTCGAAAACTGAAGCAAGCAACCAAGATCCGTACACGGACGCCCGAATCAGTTGATTGAAATGCACGAAGTAAGCGGTGCGTCGTCGCGGGTAAGCGGCGTTCTCATCCACTGAGGGGTCGGCACACGAGGTTCATTCCAGCTGGACTGCGTTCCAACGAAAGCAGTAAGATGCGATTCTCACGCCTGGCCAACGCACGTAGGTGCGCTGCCCAAAATGGATCCATGACGATTCGGAATCGGGGGGGACTGCATAATACAGCGAAAATGGGATCCATGAGTACATTAACTATAATATACTATATTAGCTTTAAGATTACTGTTAATGTACTCAGACTCATGGACCCTCAAGCTGCTACAGATTTGAGTGCCCAGACCCAACATATGAGGGTCAAAATCTTGGTAAAGTTTTCTATAGTGGGCCTTTGATGTTCGGCTCAAGTTGTTGGTTCTCTACAACAGGCTAAGAACATCTAAAAAACTCAGTTGATAAAGCAGTGGGGAATTACATCTGATGCAAACATGTGATGGACACGAACCCGAGGATCGACCACGGGACCACAGGACCACGAGCAGAAGCAGGTCTCGAGGATGACAGGATCCGGAGGCAAGTCGGACGGGGCAGGGCTGGGTTTAGCTTTGACGATTCAAGGCAAATCTTCAAGACCGGCGATCAAAAGCCTCAAGTGAAATCATTGCTCTTGCAGTGACTTGCGTGCAAGGCTGCTTATAGGTCGGTCTATCTTGAAAGCGTCCTTTTGTTGCCCGTGACAGGGTCCAAATCTCAGTAGTAGCCAAGTTACTATATGTTACTATACTATCCTTAGTAATCCTTAGCAACAAAAAGGAGCTTCAGCAAACTCATGCACACCGAACACCCACGGAGCTCCCTGAACGAGACGAGGCTGCTTCACCCCCGTCCGGCCCGTCGACTTCTGGGTTCCCCAGACCCCTCGGCGTGGAACTGCCGGATGACACGGCGCCGCTCGAAGACCGAGCCGTGTAAGGTGAGGCAGGACATGCCCATGGAGGAAAGAGCGCCTTTCATCTTCCTGGGCTTCGGAAAGAGGGCCGTTCACCTATAGGCCTTAACATGGTCTTTCAGTCACCCAAAAAGGAATTTCCCTCACTCCAGTGAGCAGAATAAAGTCAAATAATACTTTATTTAGGGTCGACCAACATTTCACTATTTGCCACCCCCTTTTATTAATCAGAGGTCAACATTATAGACAAATAAACATATTAGGCCGCCCTATATGGCCCTATAATTAGTAATGGACCAAAAAACACACATATCATAGACCCTATAGTCATGAACGTTTTCTCTTTTCAAATCTTTTCAGAACCAAAGTGTCCTGTGTTGGAACGTGATCGGAGGTTGCTGAATGCCGTACCATTTGGGTTTTGATGTTCAGCGACAAAATACCGTACAACAAAGCGAAGTGAAACAAACGCAAAGCAAAAGCAACAAAAAGGAATTGCGCCGACCTGCAAGCAAATCTCTCAAAACTTCTGATGTGGCGTGTATTCCCAGATTTCCCTGTTTTGACACGCCCGCATTCTTGAAGCAATAATAAACATGATGGCAACAAATCAGGCAAACCACCACACAGGAGCCTGCCGAGCATCCCGAGCAATACCTCAAACTGGACGAAAATGATGACCTGCCCATCTCGACTGGTTGGTCTTCAGTCGATGGCATGAGACCGTTTCTTCTCATGGGACGTGTTGACACCGTGCATGTGTTACATTACTGCAAAGTGCAACAACCATATACGAGCTCTGTATGTATATGTATTCTATACCATGAACTAAACTTACCTTGCCATTCTAGCAGCTTTTGTGATCCTGTTCAGCTCTGGCCCTCGCCTTTGCACTGTCTTCTTGTCTCCAAATCTGCTGCAGTTGGCTACAAACAGCCTCCGGTCGAGCCATTCCAGTTGAAAAGTTGGGTGTAAACATTATGCCCGACCAGTGGGGTTGTTGAACTGGGTGCTAAACGCTCTGATCTATTCTGTAACCTATCAAAACAAACCCGACTCCATTTTCATGATGATGTGCAACTCTGTGTGGTATGATGGTGGTTTCTTGTCAACACCATTTGCTGGCATTTGTTCAATAGTGGTGTTTGGGACATGTTTGCTTGTCTGCAGCAAGTAGCAATCATTGAAGTTGACTTATTCCTGAAAAACTACAGCTACAGCAGTCATTGCAAATCAAGAAGCAAAGCAACTGAAGGAATCAGTTTTGCTGGACAGTTGAAGATAGTGCTTGGGAGGTTCTAGGTGTTTCTGTCATAATCTCTGGTTTCCACAATTGTATTCAGTGTGTGCAATTGATATCAACTACACTACACCCGTTGTCGTTTCTTTCAACCACCCGAGCTTGGGCCCCCAACAACTACGGCATCGTTCCGAACCCCCATGCTGCATGTCCCCGGTGGTTCCTTTGCGCTGCGCCGATGGCACTGGGGCGTGCGAAGTATATCGCGCCTCCAGCTTGGACCCAAAGCGCGAGATGCGGCCCTGAGCAGCGGCTTCCTGGACAAACCACCGCGCGCGTCAGGACCGGGCGCCGTTTCATGGCGTTTCTCACCGGTGTTTTGGAGGAACGTTTCTTGAAGAAACGGCTGCTAATTGAAGAAGCCAGGTCCACAGAATAGAAAAGGTATGTGATGGATTTCAAGTGAAGCATTTCTTTCAATATCTCTGACACTCATGGGCTTCGCTAGTCTTTCCGGCAGTCAATCGCTTCAATTGCACCAAAATGATCCAACAAAAACCAGGGAAAAGTGTCCGAACCACCTGCTGTCTCGCCTGGTTTCGGGACAGCACTTCACGGGCCGCGGCCACCCCACCGGGCCAACGAAGGGCGTGGTTGCAAGTGGGGCATTTGCCCTTCTCAGAGACCCAGCCTCGGAGGGTGAGAGGATGTGAATGGATGTGAGATGATGTGTCTCACGGCACCAGTGGTGGCACCAGTGGTTGCTTGTCTGGATTCTTCATGTGCCACCGAGATCATACTTTGCTGATTGTTAGGTAAAACGGTGAAAACAGGACAGCATATAGGACAACTAGACAAAACCATATTGATCCATATTGGTATGTGTATTTTCTTCCTCCTACCTACCCCCAACAAGAGCTTGCCTGAAAAAACACACGTGGACTAGACTCGACAGCCAGTCCTTCGGCCGTGCTTCGGTGCTTCAGTCAAATGCCAAACAAGTATGTTGTGCACAGAATGGCAGTACACAGCAACAAGTTGCAACTATGTTAAATGTTGACACAATTGCAGATTGTGGATGCATCCTCCATTCAGATTGCGAATGACTGATCGTCCACAGAAAACAGCCCGTGCAGGAATCTGACAGCCAATGATGACTAAACCCAAATTATGAAGGCCAACCAACCAAATGCGTCAAACCTCTGGGTGGTTGATCATTAGTACAGAAAAACTCTTTCATGAAGGCATCAACTATCTAGTGATCTAGTGTTTCACTCCTCCACATCCCTCTCAAGACTCTTGGTTCAAATCCCAAGTGGAGTTGCCAAGAACAGTCCGAACGTGATGATTTTAAGTTCTGAGATGGCAAATGTCCTCTCCCTATCACATGATGCACACTATTATTTAGGTTCCTTTTCCGTTCCGGAAATCCATGACATGTTTGACGCAGGTGTTGATGACGAACGCATCCGTCTTAGACTCTAAATGACGCTACGACGTAGATCCTTACCTAGTGGTTAATGGACACCGCTGAACCTCGAACAGGGGCTATAAGTAAACACCCCGAAGTAAGGGGGCCTGGTAGAATGTGGCGACTGGAAATCACCGCCCTGCAGTCTTCGAGAATGCCAAGCAACTGGTAATGCAATCTCTGCCTGGTAGACACACCGACCACGGCCAACACCGGGGTAGGGGGGGTCAACCACTGGCAGTTGGAGATCGTTGTGTGTTCCCAGGGAGTGACCTCCCTGCGAACCTCAAACAGGTTTCATTTGCTACTTCTGTCCAAAAGATGTCTACTTTCAACTCCAAGGAATTGTCTTAATGAATCATATCATGAATAGTAGCCTACTATATATATAGCTATCAAGTTGAAGATTCAAGTAAGACTCATCCCTCAAATAGTTACATTGACAGTACATATGGTGTATATAAATATAAATATATATATATATACTACCAAATTATGGTGCCCCCGGACCTTACTATAATATCTATAGAGCTCCCTGCCGAGCTTTGGTTGGACTCCAGCACCCGCCGAAGAGAAGCATGGAGAAGTTAGTTCGAGCGACCGTCGAGCGACCCAGAAAGTGTCTGGGCTGAGAACAAGCCGCTTAAGAATATAGTTAGACCCTCCAAACCAGGCATATGGATAAAAAACAACATCTCCAATCACTGAGACATGCTTAGACTCCACACGGTGAGTTGGAGGCCTACCTTGAGGGGATTTGAAGCTAACATGTCTGGAGAAGTTCCTGGAGAATGATGAGAATGTCATGAACTACACCAATTAGACCTACTCTGGAGGTACAAACGAAGCTCTAGGACTCTATGGTTAGTTGGGGGATCCACCAATCGAGTTGCCAGTCCGTGCCGAGCCGAGCCTTAAGCGCCCGAGGCGCTGCGGTTCGGGGCACGTCCGATTCATCAGGCAACCCCCCCCGGTGCGTCCCAGGTGGCACCGAACTCGGAGTTTCATGGTGGAACAGTGGAATCTTGTCCAGGACTGTTTCATGTCAACAACTATATAATTGGAGTATTTCTCTTAGGATAGTCCTCTCACCAAGTAACTATTGCAAGAGTCGGCAAGCATCATTTTGACATATTTGGACAAATGTGCTCCAACTGTGCTCTCTGTTGACGTCACAACCCTTTTGCTTCCAGATCTTCCAGGGTGCAAAAGAGATGACCACAGCCAGTGACGCTGCAATCTTCTGGCTCCATGCTGGTCATGCAAATGGGGCAATCCACGCTGTCCTGCGGAGAGGAACCGGTCAAACTTCGTTCCCGAGAATGTTCTGTTTTCCGCCGAACAACACGGTCGAAAACCAGGGATGTCCCCCTACGGTTTTTGGAATGGCCTATCCTTTTGTATCATGTCCCATTATTCCGATCAACAGCTTTCACCCAACACTTCACCGCTCTTCAACTTCCGCAGCATGAATCCGCATGCACTGCGGTCAGTTTCTAGGTACTCTCCCACCAGTTTCCAGGCCTCTACACTACTCTACACCTGGAGAAATCAGTTTTCGGTTATTCCCCTACCGTACCAAGTCCAAGCATAGAGGAGACCTCTTGGAGAGTGCAACGGAATTCCCAGTCTATTCTGGGTCCATCGCTTCTGGGCCGCTCGATCGTTGCAAACATTGCAGGCCCCGGAGAGCGGCCGCTTCAGGTTCCTGGAGGGGCCCCTGAATTTCAGGAGAAGAAGCAAAAAGAACACTCGTTGACCACCCTACCTTCCATGTTGAGTCATAAGCTCCTCGAATTCGCTGGCCGCTGGCCGAGTTCACGCGTCTTTTCCACGGTGTCTCTCGAACGGGGCTGCCGGTGGCGTGTGCGCTCTCTCGATGTTTGTGACGCCTGTTGGTTTCACCGAGAAAAAGCGGGAGAGTCCGGTGGTCAAACCGAAAGGGACCAGAACGATGCGGCAGGCTTTCCGGCATTTTTCTTGTTGATTTGTAGTGACGATGGGCACAGGAGGCTGATCTGCTGCACCCCGAGTTCTGATACAACCGTTGGGCGTTTCGAAACACGGAATACCAGCGGAAGGCGAAACGCGAAACGGAGTAGCCATCCCAGTCTAGATGTGGATGTTCTGTTGAAATAGAGCCAGTGGCCACAGAACTTCCTTGACATTGCTTGGGACTGGACTCACAGATCCTGTGCTCGAAATAGAAACTTTGAGGGGCGTTGGGATTAACCAATCGTTGATCTTTGTCCGGGCATGCCCAACAAAAAGCCCAACCACACGGTTACTGTACGCATCCCCAAATATATATATATATATATATCCCCCCCGATTCATTCGATCCTGTTCGCTTGTTTGATCCAAGCTTGTCGCCCATGCTCAATTATATACTTCCTTTGATTCTTAGGACTCAGATCGTTCCGCATCTTCGGCTCCAAATGAGCTGGTTTCTGTGTGTGTAACAATTTGCAGGGTTTTAGTGAGACTCATCTGCATTTCCCGTCACCAAATCGTGTTTCCAATTCAACACCGGCCCAATAAACACCGTAGTCTTTCTGAAGGCCAGAACAACCAACAGCTCCTCTCCTGCTCGAGCTTCTTCAGCTCTTTCAGCACTTCCTGCCCGCAACAAGCAAAGCAAACAAAACCAACGGTCAAAGCCTCTCGATCGGGTTGATTTTGTGTTAACTTCTGGGCCGTTTGAGGCAATGATTTTCTATACTCCGTTTGAGAGCCTTCAGGACTTCTCGCAACCTCTCTGGGTGCGGCAAACTGAATGATATGCTGGTCACTGATCGGTCGCTTCTCCTGTTATTTACAAGGAAATTAAACATCCAAAGAGCTGCACTGCTCCTATCTCTCTTTGGGTGGCCCGTCAGTGATTCTCACCTACTTTTCTGAGTGTCCCCATCCTGAAGCCCCAAGTCCATCCGAGTCCGTTGCTCTGGAGCCCATACCGGAATCGCGCAACAAGTTACCCCAAATCACTCCTCAAAGTACCGATTGCGGCTCTCTAAGCGCCGTTCTTTCTGCTTTTGGACGGGCACGGAATGCTGCAGTCGCCTCAACTTCTCCTTGGGTCGGTCGCCCGCACCCGACAGAGTGTTCTTGGTTGATCTTGGTTGCGACATGTCACCCTGCAGGAGATCGTAAACACAAACCAAACTGAACAATCCAAACTTTCTGCCCGGCCTTCTTAGGTGTGGTGTGCTTCCACAGAGTGTTGCTCATGTACATCAAAAAATCGCATCAGTTCCAACTACAGGCTCTGGATGCTCATGACCCTCAATCCATCTCAATCCACCGCCATAGAGTTATCTGGGCGGGCACCTATTTCCCCAACCATGAAGTAAATGAATGGATCCCACAATACCACTTTCGAGAGTACACAAACCATATCAAGATTGCAACAGCATCTACTCTCAGGTCGCATTACTGGCCAAACAGAAAAGAAAAAACACACAAGTTCGCCATCACTGCAGCTTTCGTTCGAGACACAACATCTGAGTGTGCAGTCCTTTTCAAAAAATAGTGTCCGATCCTTTAGATATGGGGATGGCACCTGTTTGGGCTTCGTTCCTGTCATGGTCATCCGAGTCATCCATGGCCATTCACTGCATGATTTCAACACGGACACTTAAAAACCCGCATGGTCCAGCGGTTTACCGCTCCACAACCGGCGAAGAACGGGCCATGGATGGCCCGCTTCAGTTCCTTCACTTCGCCACTCCCACTGCCCGCTGCTTCGCCCTACTTCCTTCGCAAGACTCTTTTCGCTTCTTGGCCTCATCTTCGTTCTTGGCATCGGGCCAACCCAAGGCTTCCTCTCTTTCAAACCTTCCGTGTCCGAACCGAAGGTGGACCGGATGTTGGACCGGCCTGACCGGTCTGTGCACAAGGGCAAAAGGGACCATCTAGGACCGGAATCCTATCAGAAGGGGGTTTACAGGAGACGTGCAAAGTTCTGAATTTGTGTACATGCATCGAGAACTGATCCCACACAGTCACCGATCTACGCAGCCGGCATCCAGCTTGACACACGGGGTAAATTGTGTAAGAAATAGTTCTCAGTAGCAGTGGATTTGCTTGCCTCTTTCCCTGCCGGGAAAAAACAGCAAAAACATAGAGATATTGAAGCTGGTGATGGTTCATCTCAGGAGTGCAACCGTCCTGTACATACAAGTAGCATTGCCTTTGTGCTTTCTGGTTTAAGAGGATTTGTCAAATGGCGTATCGCCAAACCTGTTGGGTGTCAAGTGGAGGCACAGAAAATCTCTAAATCTTCATGCCATGGGCCATGGATGGTTCATGATGGTTCTATGGGAGTCCACCGGATCAGTAACACATACAGAACAGATTCGGATTCACTAACACTGAAGTGGACATGCCCCTCTTTGTAGAGGAAAGGAGTCTTCCAAGGGACTATGCCGTCTAGGATCATCTACGTGTGTTCTATAATAAGTTGTGAACACAAACACAGCTCACTCTGTCGCATCTTACCAAATAGCACAGATCCCCCCCGAAACCCGGACTCCTCTTGATCTTCTCCTGGGTCTCTTCCATCTCCTCAGAGAAGAAACGACACAAGTTGGCCAACGTGTGGAACATGTTGGCATGCTTCATGGCAGGATGTGTGTAAGGTGAGGTCCTTTCTGTTCACCAGCGTGGTCTCCCACGCTGGCGGACCGTTCACCCAGACATGATGGAGATCGAATCCCGGCCTGAAGGTATGTGTGTGTTTGTTTCAACCTTTCTCGTGACCAACACAACAATTTCTGAAAGCACTGTCACTGGTTAATCCTAATGAGGGCTTGTTTCCTGTAGAGAGAAAACAACTAATTTCTTGATGCACCACTCTCATGCAAAACATGCACGAAAACATGTCTGATCCGGGAACCGAAACAAAGCAGGCCAAACAATCATAACTGAGGACTGCTGCAGCTTTTGTGCCCGTTGGTCATCTCCGATCTCCTGCCCCCATCAATCAATCACCACCACCAACCCCTGAGTCTATTGATTGTCCACTGGGCACCCCGGACGGTACGGTGCTTAGCCAACTCGAGCTCATTGTCCGAACGCGTGGTGTTGATCGCTGAGGCCATGTCCTCAAATGGCAGCTGGCGCGGAACGGTGGAAGCTGTTTCTTTTTGCAATCGTGGAGCAAGAAACAAGGTCCGAAAAGAAGCTCTCTTGCACCCAATTTTTGTTTGCACATGTTTTACCATGTGAGAACCCGGAACCCCAGTACAGATTTCAATCACCTCTGGTACCAACGTACTCCAGATGTTGTCCCCCCCTCCAAATGACCCGAGTCACCATTCCGTTCCTTTGCTCGGGTTGTGCCACGATGGGACATGACATGGAAACGGGTTCTAATTAGATGGAAAATAGATAGACGGGGAGGGTCTATCATAAACCAACCTTGGGGTGTTCGTGGAAATTGTCTAGCTCAAAGATGGAAGCGGAATCTAAAGCCCCTTGGCAAGCGTGTTCGACTTTGCTTTCATGCTCGTACTTCGAGAGCTTTTCATATGCGAGAAATGGTTTCCGATACATGTGCACACCTGTTACACCTTTTTGTTGTTATTGGTGTGTATTTGTACTCAATGACGGTTCAAATGGGAAGATTGTGGTGGCTCTTTGATCTCGTCCAAGACCCTTCCCCGCCAGGGGGCATCGTCACGATCATCTGGAGAGAAGAAATTGCAAATCTGCAGCAAAGCCTCCAAGGAAAATGTGCGAGGAGTTGAACTGACAGCAAAGCCTCCATAGTCATTTGATTTCCATATTTATTATATATATATTATCTACTATAATATAACTCTATATGTGGCCAGTGGCCGCTCGAAAGTCTAAGTGCTGGCGACAGTAAGCAAACAGGAATGTGTTTGTCAAGATAGAACAAAAGCAAAATACAAATCAATGAAACATGTAAATGTAGAGCCAAGCAAGGGGAAAATTGGGATCCACTGGGAACTCTTCAGTCACGTTCTCTGAAATGATGGGGCCAACCTATATATAGCTTCCCGTTACGCAGCCTCAGCGCTCCCGGAAGCCGTATATAGGTTTCTGTTCTGCTCTCAGGATTGCAAGAAGAATGGTATCAATTCATGGCCCAAGAGTTCATGTTTTACATGCAAAACACATGCTACAGTCCATGACAGTCCCAAAGCCCCTGTGATCGGCTCCCGATCGGTGTTCCACCGCACCGCGCGGTGAGGTTCGTCTACCGAGGCAGCGTTCAAGTACAGGGCACGCTCACCGCCTGACGACCGTCGCAGCGGCAAAAGCGAAACCGTTCGCCCAAACTGGTTGTTTCGGCGGGTGGGACTTGGGATGGCGATGGCATGAGATGGTCATGGCCATGGCATGGAGTCTAGAATCTATCTTGGTATGCTATTACCTTGTAAGGTCCTGGACCAAACATATGTCAATTTCAAGTCGAGACAATCATAACCTTGGAACTGGTTGCCGTGCTTGTTTATTGCTTGTCCTTACAGTCTTCCTGTGTCGCTTCTGCTGCTACTCTGACTCTGACCAGTTCAGATTAAATAAGTTAAACTACCGACCCAAATTTAGGGTTTCAACATGTTTCAAGCTTCAGTCAATAATCAGGTAAAGTTGCTGCATGCCCGTGGACAACCATACACACCATTGTCATCTCATGTATTCTCGTCTCAGTTTGTGCCATTGATGTCATCCGTTGTCTTGTCTTTGTCTTGGATTTGCATTAACTTGATAATATGTGGGAGTCACTGTAAGCTGGACCCATTGCAAGCCCTCGGTCCAGTTGTGTGACTGAAAAGAAAACAAGTGAACAACTGCTTGGCTTGAACTATACATAAGGATCATTTCTTCCAGCCGTGCCCATCAGCCTGTATGGCGCACAGCGATGAGGTGATATTCGATGGGGATGGAGGACCTCAAGGGAAGCGCCTCGCTCGGGTTTAACTTGGATTATATACTAGCTTAAGGAACCAGCAAACAAATATAACATATTACAAAAAGTATTCATAGGCTCATAGGGAAAATGTACCATCCTAAGCAAAACCAGGCCAATGATTGAAGCAGCAGTCGCCCGCCGAACGGTTGGTCGCTCTTCTCCAAGGTTTCCGGGTTTCTTGGGGACTCTTGGAGATCCGACGCCAACGGCGACATGAAGAGCTTTCAACATACGAATGGGCCGGGATCCATGCCCTGGGGAGATGTATCTGAAGTCATCCAAGCCACGGTATCCAGGTGTCCGACAACATGAAGAAGTCCAATGAAAGCGTTATTTATCCTGAATGACTTGAGAAGGCCTTTGCATTGTACGTTCACATCATAAGTAAAACATCTACATTTGTGCCTTGGCGAGTCCTTGCATTGCCATGGCTTGGCATATTTGCACAAGTCTCTGGTACAACGTGGATGCACTGATTGAGGCAACCAGCAACAACTCGGGAACGTTGAACATACAGTAACACAATCAATGAATGCAATGTAGCACCATGCAGCACCGAAAAGGACACATGAACTTCTTGGTAGGTCTAAGCTTGATGAGGCAATATGCTTTCATCTAATTTCTATATGATCATATCACTTCTTTGTCGTCACAGCCATCCAGGAGCCCCAAGCACATCAAGGTCATCGGAACGGACGTACTCGTCCAGGTAGTGCCTCGAGCGATCGTTTCGAGCAAAGCATTTGAGTGATTTGCGCGTCTGGTAGAAAAGTTCCTTTTTGAAAGTTTTGGTCGGTTGGTTTGGAATGCATCCAGCTGTGCAATTGGGCTCTACTGAGCCTCTGGCTGGGCTTCCAAGTCACTGTCGCGGGGCACGAACACCCGATGGAAGCGTGCCTCACAAGGCACAGGTCTTGCATCCGCTTTTGACCATGCGGGGTCGGCGCAAAAAGAGCGTTCGAAAGAACGATCTTGGTCTGGTTTAAAAATAATCCAAACAAAGAATTGTATGGGCTATAAGTTGTATAATATATGGAACATTATAGAACCCATTTGACAATTGATTTGATAGGAAACACATATTTAATATACGTATTTGGGTTGTTGATGGTCTAATGATTGAACTCGAGGTCATTCAGGTTCTAGGCATATATTGCTACTACATGTTTCCACTATATGGCTATAGATGGTCTTGATTCATGATGTAAGGCCTTGCTTTAGGCTTCTAGGCCTTTGTTGGCGCTATGTTGTTATCTAATTTAACAATGGCGGGAGATGAATTGAGCCATTTCATTCTTTCCAACAGCATGGATCCCTCTGAGCCCTAAGACACCTCCGATCCAAACTCCGCATGGTGAGCCGGGTCCTGGTCCGTGTCCAATCGAGACTTCCGTCACTTTCCGGACGCGAACGGCTGAAGAACATGTGTGGGCATTGTGTCTCTCTTCTTCGGAACAACGATCGAACCCCCAAAGAACTTGTTCTACAAGACCGGGAGAACACATGGGCGAGTCAAAACACAAAAACACCGAAAAGGGCCGCTAAACACCGCCGCCCTTTCTGCACTTTTGAGTTCCCTGTCTCATGATATCCTCGACGTCCTCCTTTCCGCTCTGCCTTCACAGGCCAAAGCAAACGACGATCATCGAAGCGGCCAAGCAGCGGCCAAGGTGCTAAGAATGAGACTTCCGCCGCGGAGCTCAAGGGCGGCGTAGCGGTCAAGCCCCAGCGGCTTTCAGCTTCCAGGGCTTCGAAGTTGTGGAACCTTGGAGCGCTTTGTGATATGAAAGGTTGGGTGGTTCACCCTGCAAAAGCTGGTTTAGTTAATGGATCTAAGATCTACCAATGATTCCACCAAAGCCAGGAGGCTTGGGATGCGCCCTGGCGGGCCCTGGTCCAGATCGGATGGGAAAACCGGATTGTGCCATATTGCTACTACATGGGCAAATCAGCTCCAGTCATCATGGGATGAATGAAGTCTGAGCACCGGAAATGCTGATGTCTGAATTTACCATTGGACCATCCCTTAGTCCGTGCTGTTGCATCAAAGAAGTATACAGTATACAGTAAAGAAGTTCCTGTTTTTAAGTCTCTACACATCTTTTGTCCTCCTCTTGAATTTTTTTGCCAGAAAAAGGAGACCTGTCCACATCACCTCCAGAACATCCCTCTCTGCCAGAAACATCAAACATCCAAATGTCTGACAGCCTTGGCACCAATTATATGCAATAGTCGGCCGGGAAACAGAGGTTCGTGACGGTCCAGTTTGGATGACACAGTCCCCATCCGCAGGTAGTTGACATATGCCTATCTATTATATGGGCGCCCTGTACCATCTACTAAAATTACCAATGGTCAATTGACAAGGCAATGAATCGCACTCCCTATAGTTGCGAACGTATTGCTATGGCTCAAGAACCACCCCATCCACCGGACTGTTAACTGGAGATATCAATTAACAGTGGCGTAACACTGGTTCCTGGATCCTATTCTGAGCATCCAACGTCCTCCCTACCGTGCTATCTTCCCTTACAGCAGCAAATGCTGCGCTTGGACGGACTGGTGCACGAAGAAACAAACAAACGCACGCACACACACACACACACACTTGGAACTTATATACAGTACATATATATAGGGCAGTTTTGCACCCATCTGCAATTTTGCACCCATCTTGCTTGCTCTTGTCATTTCCATGTTGGGACTTGAGATATTATAGCTCACTCAGAGACTCACTCATTACTTTGTTTGCTTACTCGCTGCAAATTCCGAGCCTAATGAGTCTTCGTCGTTTTTCAGAGAACCGCCTCGGTCCGATTTGAGGGAGTCGAATTCCGCAGCTCGGGCACTGCTGCCGGTGCCCTGAACTGCCCAGACACAGGATCCGTGTGTCGGCGGTCAGCTTCTTGTCTCGGAGACCCGCCACATCTCGCAAGGCCTTCTGGGAAGAAAAGGAAAAGAGGCGGCGAGGTGTTTTGGACTGAAGGGCGAGATGTAAATGCATTCTGCTTCTGAGCGATATTCCAAACATCATGATCAGCAAAAACAAACAACACACCACTAAGCGCTCCATGCTGGATCCGCGTTTAGTCCTGATTGGTGTCTTTCTGCTGGACGAAACTATTTCATAGAGTTTCCACCTTTGTTATTCGCCCGAGCACTCTGGGAACTCACTATTGTATATTCACAAGTTGCTCTCTTGAGACTCGTCACCGTGGTAGAGTGTTATAGGTCCAGATCCCAAGATATCCTACATCTGGTATCCCTTCTTTCCGCTAGGTCCGCCAGGTAACAACAATAACACATTCAAAGAAACACTTGAAACGAGCAGTCCAAGCGGCCCGCAGAGGCTCATGCAGCTCGTCCACCACCAAACGGCGCCAATAGAACATCTCCTGAACCATCAGGTGGCCATACCCCCTGGAGGAACTATGGTTACGACCATTTTTGAACCTCCACACGAAATACATCAAGTGGACATGCAGTCAATTCCCTATATGTGGTAAAGCAAGTCAAACTCTTTCACTCTATACTGGTTCATAAGGCCCAATCACACTGAAGGCGTTTAGCTTGACCGATGGAGAACATCAATGGGTCACTTGTGACACAGGGCCCCCACAAGGTGTCATCTAAACACAAAGGGCATCAACAGCTACCAAAGAGGTCCAGTCACGGTCCAGTCAAAGAAATGGACGTCTTCTTGAATTTGGCTCCTCATACGACGTTTAGAGGAAAATAGACTAAACATTACCAAACACGCACTAGTTGGGGGTCTCGTTGAGTATAGAACATGTTGTGCATGACTCATGCTGATGGTGCCAGTTGATGATTGCTAAATCCAGGGATCTTGATACACAAGCAAAGAGCCTAGGGCCACGTCACTGACAGGTGGTTCCTATGTTGCTGTGGATGACAGTAACACAATGCAAAACCCTTTTGAGGATAGTCACGGATGGTTTCCCGTCAGTTCCATCAAGCTCCAAGGCTTTGTGCACGGAAAAACTTGCAGCTCAAACTTCTCCAATGTTTGCACATGAAATCACACTAGACTTCGTAGTGTCGTAGGTCTACAAAGAACCATTCGGTAACACAGCAATGACATCAATCAAGAACGTTCCAGGAACTGTGCCTAACTTGCAGGAGGCAACAAAACAACCTACTCCCACCCTACAGTGTTCTACAGTACCATAAATTGTTGCGTTCCCCAGTTCATCGTACACCCTGGAGTTTTCACCGCCCTGCGGGGCCAATCAAACTAAGTGACCAAGGGTGGCATTGTGAGGTCGTCGATGTTGGAAGGTTCCTGGCAGAACAGCAATTCCAGGCATCAACGTTTGGAGAGTTGCGAATACGTGGTGACCAATGATTGAGTGGCCTATCTTAATTCTGGTGGCCATTGATTGGGCTGCTGGGCAAAGCCAAGCCAAAGGGATACTCAAAGAAGGGGATGTTCACAAAGCTTTTGCCACAAGGCTCAACGGTTCAACCACAAAAGTACTGTATATATACAAATCACACTTTGCTGAGAAGTGGTTTCAAAATGGTTTGTGACTCCAGCCTCGGCCACTGACCAAAAGACACACGCCCAGCCCCCAACCTTTAATCGCCAAACAATGATATTCTAATGTACCAATTTGTAGCCTGAACCCTCCAGACCTGCCTCAAAGCAATGTAGCTGCATAGTAGCATTGTTTAATTTACGTAGGTGTTTATAGGCTATAGGCTACAGGAAACACCAAGCTCTGGCACGAGTTATCAGAAGTCGCACCTCAAACCTCCACCGAACCTGCACCGAGTCTTCACCGCGCCCTCGCCTGGCGCAGCAAGGCCTCCGTCCGCTGGCGCAAGCGCCAGCGGCGCCGGATCAGCCGCTCCGAGGTCACCTCCGGAGACCTCACCGCAGCGGTGCGACCGTGCTTCCCAACTTCAAAAGACCAGAGCGGTTGGACCGTTTCAAGCTTGGAGTCTGAAGACCTGGCACTGGTTGAAAAAGAGGTCCAAAATGAAGCTAATTTTTGGCTGCACTTGTTGAGGCAAAACTCACAAGTTCCATGTACAAAACTAGCTGTTCCATTGCAATTTCCTAGAATAGCAGGAACTTGAATTTTTTTACCAATGCGTAACGAAGGGTTCTGGTTCAGTGTAAATAGAGCTGTGTTTGCGAGGCGTGTGGGACTGTGCTGTGCGTGCCAGCGTTCGCAAGCCGACGCGTGGACCCGCTAAGGCCGTGCAATTGGAGTAAGCTTTTGGAGGAGGTATCGAGGCATCGACGCATACCAACTCACTGTGCAGGTGGAACATTTTGTGAAGTCAGCACTTCGTGTCGCAGTGCCCTTGGGATTGGCTTTGCAGGATGGTGTTTGGAGGTGTTGGGTGTCGCTGTGCCATTTGGATTTTTTCTTGAAGGGGTAGCTTCATTCCAAACGCGTGTTTGCACGTGTTAAGGTGTGTTTTCGTGGCAAACGCAAAGAATCCGTGAGGTTCTGATGTTTGGTGGGGCTGAATGTGGCTGTGCCATTGGGATTGAGGGAGCTTTGATTGCGAAACTGCTTGGCCTGCGAGGATACCCTCACACGGAAAGTAGCTTCTGGTAGTTCTGGGCCTGGGCTTGGAGCTATAGCAACTTTGCAGTACAAGTGGGGAATGGGGAGTGGCTCCTGGAGATCCAGGCTTTGCGCGGCGAAATTACGTCCGCGATGTCGTTGCTGTGCCGCTTTGGCGCAGCCTCGGTGGAAAGTGCGTGGCTCCGTGGCTCCGCGCTATGGGGGACAAAGGAACATGCGTGCGTAAGGTGTAAACGTGGCGTGTCACTGGTGCAGGGATGATTTGTGGTGTCAACGAGGTGTGCGACAAGAGTCTCCGACAAAAAATGCCCCAGAACCTACAAGAGTGCTCACGGACTGTCCCACAAGAATGTCCTGGCAGGATGCCTCACAAGTGCCCTTTTAGAGGACCCTAGAAGAGTGTCCCAAAGGAATGTCCCGCAAAAGTTACCTACCAAAGTATCTCGCAAGAATGGCCTACAAAAGTGGCCCACAAGAGTGTCCTCCAAAGGCGTCGTGCAAAAGAATGTCCAGCAAGAGTGTCTTACAAGGGCTTCTTCCAAGAGTCTCCCGCAAGAGTGTTCCACAAGAGTATCCTACAAGGGTGTCCTTGCACGCATAGTGTTTTACAAGAGTGTTCCACAAGATGGTCCTACATGGTCCTGCAAGAGTTTCCCCAAGAGTGTCTGTCTCCTGCAAGAGTATTCAGCAAGAGTGTCCCACATGTGCGTGTGTGTCACACTCTGTTCCAAAGAGTTTCTGTTTTGTTCAAATCGCAGGGGACCAGGCAGGATGCATCGTCGCCTGGTCAACGAAGCTGGCGATGCATCCGAGGATATGGAAATGGGACGCCATTTCCACGTACCTGCTAAAAATTGTTGTTTGCGCTGTGACTCCACTTTTCCTTTTTTGTTTCCATGGTGGTTCTTCGCATGATATCCCCCAAAACAGGTTTCCTTAGCTTTGGTAAAGTGCTAGTGAGTTCGTTAAACAGTTCTGTTCTTCGGACCCTTTCGCCTTACCGTGTTTGCAGTAAAGTGCTAATGCAGTAACTAGCTTCCGCAGTCACGCAAAACTCTTGTTCAACATTTCAAGTGCGCGGACCCTTTCACCTTACGGTTCCATCAGCCATTTCCTGAGGAATTGAGTTATAACTGCAAACCCATTGTCAAAGTGTGTGCCGCTCTGCCTTTCCACTTGGGCGCAGGGTGTGATCCCCCGCAAGGGGGCGCTGTCTTCACTCCGGAGTATCGTGTAGCTGATTCAGCGGACTTTCTGCACGCGTTGGATTCTCTTAACAAGCCGCCGGGCTTCACGGTGTTTTTGAGACAAACCGCCGGGTCAACGGAGCATAAACCCCGACGTGTTTTCTACCCCAAACACCCCAACCCCTCCCACCCACTAATTAGGGTAACAGAGGGAAATGGTACTCGACACACTTGTGTGTCGGTGCCTTTCCCTCTGTCGTCCCTTTTCTAGTCTACTCTACCCGGGCGGTTTAAGACTAAAGTCCCGCTCCCTAACTATTGCACTTAATTCATTTCTGCTAAGTAATCAGTAAATCTAGACTGCTAAGTATTCATACACACACACGGACACACACATGTACATACACCTCCCTGCCCCCCGCTTTCTTTCCTGCGCTTTTGGTCGTTTCTTGGGCTTTCTTTTAGGCTTTTTAGGTAGTTCTTGAGGCTCGTTTCCCTACCCCAGTCAAGGGCAAAGTAGTCACTTTTCGCTACACCTATCTTTCTCTCTTGCTCTTTTAGCGCTGCTCTTGCTGGTTTTCTTTCTCTTGTTTCTAAGGCTTTTTAGGTGCCTATATAGGTTTTCTGCGAGAGCGCCGCAAAGCGGCTGAGTGTGTGTGTCACACTCTGTTCCAAAGACTTTCTGTTTTGTTCAAATCGCAGGGGACCAGGCAGGATGCATCGTCGCCTGGTCAACGAAGCTGGCGATGCATCCGAGGATATGGAAATGGGACGCCATTTCCACGTACCTGCTAAAAACTGTTGTTTGCGCTGTGACTCCACTTTTCCTTTTTTGTTTCCATGGTGGTTCTTCGCATGATATCCCCCAAAACAGGTTTCCTTAGCTTTGGTAAAGTGCTAGTGAGTTCGTTAAACAGTTCTGTTCTTCGGACCCTTTCGCCTTACCGTGTTTGCAGTAAAGTGCTACTAGCTTCCGCAGTCACGCAAAACTCTTGTTCAACATTTCAAGTGCGCGGACCCTTTCACCTTACGGTTCCATCAGCCATTTTCCTGAGGAATTGAGTTGACTGCAAACCCATTGTCAAAGTGTGTGCGGCACAAAAGCGTCTCCTTTTGGAAGAGTGTCGCACAAGCGTGTCAAGGAAAAGTCTCGCGCAATCTTTGCCTACCAAAGTGTCTTAGAAGAGCGTCACACCAGGATGTTCTTGAAGAGTCTTTGAAGAGTCTGTGAAGAGTGTCAAGCAATAGTTTGAAAGGTCGCTTTACGTGTTCGACAGAAACGGGTTCGTGGGCTCAATCACGTTGTCTTGGGGTGATCGTTTCATCTTTTCCCAGATTCGTCTCTCAGTTCCAAACCATCCGAAAACAATGAACCAATTAGTGGATGCGGCACCCTCAACAAGTGGATGCGGCACCCTCAACAGTTCAACATCACTCCAGCTGGCTAAATTCCACACAAGCCAACACAACCCAACACCATGTCGCGTCCATACTGGCCAAATCAATTGTTTTTTGGGGCAGGACCGCCCCTCTCCCCCTCTCCTTCAAAAGACCACACCTGCGTGCATGTGTGTCCTGTGTCCCGCATAAACAAATACATCTTGTCGTCGAGACACTTCTTGGTCTTCTTGTCGCTGAAGTCTTTGAGCTTTGGCTCAGGCCCCAGGCTTGGCACTCCAACCTCCCGGAAGCGCGGATTGTTCCTCGAGATGTGGGCGAATGCGCGAGCCGCCAACATGCGAAGTCCTTTTCCGTGGACGGACCTGGGGACCTCAGGGACCTAAATGATGCTGGAAATCTAGCCTTGAGGGCACAAGCTATCTCAAGCACCATTCTAACGCACCTACAAGCGATGGCCTCCAACCTAATAGCGATGACCTCCTGCTGGGTGAACCTGATTCCAATTCACCACATTTCGAAGCCAAGGTACTCCAAGTTGCCCCACATGCGATGGAGCGCCTCGATGTATTGTTTCTTCTGGCACCACTTCCTCAGAGCTCCAAACCGGCCTGGGGTGTTCTGGTTGGCTTCCATGTTCGCTTGTGGGTTGCAGGATGGGACAGTCTTTGCCACCATTTTCGGCTTTGGGATTCTTAATTGAACTTCGTTGTCAACTCCTCCACATGGTGAAAAATCATAAAACAAACTGATATGGGCGTTCAATCATCACAGTACCTTGTTTCATTTCATGTCCGAATGCTGTTATAAAAACTATCTCCCCATGAAAGGGCACCAAATGATCAATATCAATCAACCCGATGGCTCTGAAGCACAGAAGAACAGAATTGAATCTTCATAAATTGAACGCTCTGAGGCGAAGGAGCCAAAGTGAATCTTACAAGTTTATACAAGTTTCATGTCATCACATCATATATAGGTTGATCAATTCAGAAGGAAATCGGGGTTGCATCCCCTCATCAAGCTGGTTCTTGCAAGGGTACCATTGCCAAACCCACAACTAATCCTGGGCCGTGTGTGAGTCCACATGACTTCCATACCAGGCCGGGACGAGCTGTTGTGAGTCGGCTGTCCGCTGGCCGGGGAAAGAAGCGCCGGAATGGCCGTCTACTGGAAGCGTTGCCGCCAAAAAGCTCGTGTCTACGGGAGTGTCTTTTCAGGCACAAGAACCAGGCACATGAAGCATCATGAACTTGGTTCACAAAGGTGTTGATGCACCCAATTAGGCATACTTCAGACTGGATCTAGGGACCTATAGCAAGGACCGACTTAAACGTTCAACAAAAAATAACATGCAAACCCAAGTGGATCCGCATCGGTCGCCACGCCGTTTCGTTCGCACCGGCCGTCAGGATCGTTCGCGACAGACGCGGTCGGTCGTCCGGATCGATCTCGCGGCGCGACGTCCGATGTCCACGGTCAGAAGAACAAAGGTTGAAGAATTCCTGGTTCGACGATCCCAAAGGATCCCATAGGTACTGGTAGCAAGAAGCATGCTTACTAGTAGCAAGAAGCTACTACGTAGGTGGAGGCCATCGCTAGTACCCCAGGTGACGGGTCCTTGTTTTTCACTGGATCTTCAAACGGCATAAATGTTGGCAAGCATTTTACAGTGAAAAAAAACGTAATCAAAACAACACCTGCCGTTTTTAGGGGTTGCAAACATGTGCTCAAAATCCATGGGCGGGGAAAGACGCCGTTTGGACTCGTAAAGATGCTGTTTTGAAGCCAAAATGTGCCGCTTCTTTTTGGATTCTGCCGGTTTCCGCTGGTGAAAATGAAAATAATACCGCAGCAACTAGTAACAACTGCAGTTTTTCTTGAAGGAGCAATTATTTGAAGCCGTTTCAAAGATCCAGGTATAGTTTAACCTCTGGACAACAACAAGAACCAACAGCTCCACGGTCCGCTCTGAGCGTCTTCCGGGCTTCCTCGTACACTTTGGATGCAGGAATCACCTCATCTCGCGAGTCGGCGACGTCCGCACGTCGTCGTCGAAGCGGAGCCATCGTCGTCTCATGCGAAAGAGAGTGAGGACTCCGGTGTAGTACAGCATCCAATGAATCACAAGAAAGAGCAAGTGAGGCATGTTCAAAGCATGGAACAGGAAGAGTGTGAAGAAATTTGAAGAAATATTCATAAATATTCTGACTAGGGGATTCATGGGAATTCGAGCATCCTACAGTGAACTAATCTGTTCTGAAAAGAAGAGAGTGTCAAGACCAAAATCATGGGCCCAAACAACAAGTGGGAGATCAATTAAGGCCCTTTTCTTAATGCTCGGTTCATCTCGGTTCCTTATCATGGACACTTCAAGGTGAAGAGGGCTTGAACCTGCTGTGCAGCGTCAGAACCCTCCATTGGAGGGTCCAATATGGTCCAATTTGTTAGGATTTCCGCATTTTAAAGGGCTTAGGGGAGTTAGGGTTTGGTTCGGTTACAGGGTAAGGGTTTCCAATTGGTGCAATGGATTAGGGTTTCTCAGAAGCCCTTCGACTCTGGGAAAAGGTCCTTCGTTTGACTTGGACAGGGTGCCACATCCGTGGGACCCTCCAACCCAGCCGCGGCATCCAAATGCTCCTGCCAGTTACTTGTGGTTAGTGTTTGGTCAAAGCTGTAGCCCAAGCACACTGGCTTGCAGATGTTTGTAAATGAACTGCCATCCCCATGATTCATGATGCGTCAGTTTCCACGCTACAGAACCACTGATTAATCAACCACCGCTACGGTCCGCACGGTCAGCGCGGGCCGTCCACACTCGTGTCCTGATACTTCACGGAGCTCAACAGACGCAAGCTCACCAAGACGATGTCGGCCGTGCGCAGCTGCCGTACGGTGCATTGCTTCAAGGTCGACAGCGAGGCGATGGCCACCGTCTGCGAGGCGACAAACCGATGGGCGGCGAAAATGGAAGGGGCGACAGCTCAGTAAATGGAGAGCAGAAACAAAACTGATTGGGGCATGCTGATTGGACTACTGGTTGGTAAGTTGATTGGTTGGAAACAGGCCGAAGGTCACCCTTCCAGTCAACGTGGTGTCAAAATCAAAGAAACACAAACATACACAAACTGACTACCTGAGTAATTGTTTTTTTGGGGGTATTCACTTGTGACCCACACACACAAAGACAAACACACACACAGGAGGAATGGTCAAAACCAACTGACCCCTCAAAAGAAATTCAGATTCTTGGTGAGTTCCTATGATTGCAGTCACTTCCCTATCTCCAACTAGCCAGCAACTGCATGGATCATCTCTCTGTCTTAATGTCGGAGCTTTCCACCTGCTCACGCAGGGAATCGATTCCCCAGAGAGGGCACTCTAGAAGCCAATCGGGGGGTTGATAACCACGCTATGCTCGAAAAATACTGCAAATACCACAAGCATTCCAGTGAGTCTTCTCAGGGAAAAGGCCATTTCAAACAGAATTTGTCATTTTCTGAAGGTTTACTAGACAGCTGCTTTCTTCAAAGCTCTTGATAATTAGAATTCCACTCTCTTCCACAGCCTCATCTCTGTCACATGTATTCACATGTAAGACTACTCATACAACAAAAAGAATTGGGCAGTCGTGCGTTGTTCTGTGCCCCCAAAGGGCCGGCCTTGATTTCAGGAGACAGGAACTTCTTGATCTCGCCCTGCCACTGATCAAACCTTGAAGGGCACGGGTTTGGGTCGCCGGCGGCTGCAGCATTTCACTGTACAAGCGAAGGCGGTGGAACAGCGTTTGGCTACTTGTTTGGCTTTCGGTTGGTAGAGGATACATCAGAAAGCACCAATCGAATCCCCCAATGCAGTTTTTATCCACACAATCGGATGGGAAGAGACTACCCCCAGCGAATCCAGCCAATCGACTGAACATCGTTCAACGACATTAAAAAAATGAAGAAGCGCTCGAAACGTTCACCTTGCAACGCAGCAACATTGTTTCATATTGTTTCTATGTGTTTATTATCTGAACAAACAAACACTTGATGTCTTTGGTCGTCTCCAGTGACTCCAGTCTCCAAGCTGCAGATTCGGTGGCAGCATCACCAACGTTGCCCTGGAGCGCAGAAGTTTCTGGTGTATGCTGGGGAATGGCATGGGCGGCGAAGGCGTCAAGGCAATCAATGCCAAGACTGAGGCCGTCTTCCCATAGCCCACCTTGGTATCCAACAGTCAGCAGAACTCTCAACTGATCTAGAAAAGTCTTCGATCGTGCAACACTTCAGTTCGTCACAATGGGCATGAGCCGTAGAGAGTACTAACCACAAAGGACCATGGTGTTTTTGATGGGTACAAGTAAAAATCAACATCACGGTTCAATCTGAAGCAGGGTTGGTTGTTGTTGACCACGCTGTGCGGGAACCCTCTCCATCGAGTCGGGCATTTCACCAATCTAATCGATCTGGCGCTCTCCAAATAACCTGCGAAGAGACACGGGTAGGAACAAAAACACACACTTATGACTTTGCATACTGAACTGGAAGCGGTGCCACACGCCAGCCTAAGTGAAAAACCTAAGAAACCAAGGCGAGTAAAGGGAAAACTCCACCAATCTCCAAAGCTGAAAGTTCTGAAGTCACGGTCTCCAAAGCTCAACGACGGTGAGGTCAGCACTAGACAATTACTGCAAAACACAGAATTGGAACAGCTAGTCCATTACGTAGGTTTCCTTCCAAGCAGGTACGTCAATCCGGCGTCCCGGATTGATTTCGCAGATGCAACACTGGCGTCTTCGTTGGTGCCAGTCCAGTGTGCATCCCTGGCACCCCCTGCCAAAGCAATTCAAAAGAATCCCTGTGACTGCAAGGGGCACACACACAACCTCAAACAGTGTCACCTCCATCCAAAAATACAAAACTTATATACCCCATACTACGCCATATACTACAGTCCGTCAACATCTCCCTTTTGGAAAAGAAACAGCTGCTACCGCTGCTCGACCACTTCCTTCGGGTGGTCCTTTGGGAGTCGCACTGCCGAGGCGCGGCATCTGCCAGGAGTCCTCCCTTCGCATCAGCGAACAAGCGTTCCACCTGCGCAAGCGAAAAAAGGACCCCACGAAACCACATGGGCCCTGAAGATCACCAGGGTGTGCCAAACGTCCAAACGAAACCTGTTTGCTCTATTACAGAATGCACGTGTGGGATGTTGAGGGCTGACACAAGCTGCGCCGTATGACAACCACACTGGGCAGTGTCTGGCTCCTGCAAAAAGAGTTAACATATGACGTCACACATGCATGCACCTCTAGTTAAACCAGCTAAATTGTGAGTGCCCCTAATAAGGAACGACCCATGTGCCATCCGGATCATGCATCACATATCTCCCCTGCCAGCTCAGACTGCAAAAACAACTCCCACCCTCTGCCTTCAGTTGCACGCTGACATCCTTGGGTTGCCCGCGGTCACTCGGTGATGGAAAACTGAAAACCCCCTGCGTAGGACGTCCTACACCTGCAGGATCCTGCTGCGTAGGAGTTACTTGGACCCACCTCCAACCTGCTTTTTCAAGCCAATCAGAAAGGTCCAATACCATTTTGGATTGTGAGCAGAAGAGGCCACGTGTCGGTCACGCACACACAGCATAGAGACTTGACTACATCTTCGCAAGCATTGGAATCTTTTGCGTTGCGGATGGACCTGACCAACTCTCAGTAACGCTTTCATGAGTCAGCCAGGAACATTCCAGCAGAGTCCTGTCTCTGCACCAACACTCTGGCCATTACGCATTTTCGTATCTCTGTGATGACCCCCAAGAGTCTCCAGGTGTCTTTCTCCCCACATCTCCTCCCACCAAGCGGCCGATTTCCCCATCTGTCGACTCAAGCGCTGCACGGACACGAAGCCGTGAAAGGCCGTGTCGTTTTGGGCAGCTCCGCTGATGGCCACACCCTCTCGACTGGCCATCCAGAAAACCGTCCTGACCGGTGAAGTGGCTTGGGAGTGTGCCGAAGTGTGGTATGGACCAATCATGTGTCTGGAAAGCAGGGGAACTCAACGAGAAGTTCTGGGTACACATACAGGGATGATTTTGGGGTGTATGGAAGTTATCTTTGCTGGCTTGCAATTTAGGTGGTAGATGGTGGTAGTGTGTCTTTGTTTAGGGGTTGATATTAACATGCGAGCAAGGGAGGCGTTTTGTCACAACCTATAGCATCCATTCGGCCAGTCACATCAGGGAATTGACGATTCTTGCCCTCATAGTTAGATGTTGGTTTGCCTTCACAGCTGGACTTCAGTAAGACTTAAAGTATGTTGGCCTCCGTGGCATGTGGCAGCAGCGACGAACAAACTGCACTTGGCCAGATTCCGAGAGCCACCCCGTCGCTCACAAGCAGTAACGATCGCTTGAAGAGGAACATGGATGTGGCATGATGTGGGAGATCCTCAAAACTTAAAATTCAGTCGGTTGGAATCCATGTGTCCTACGTGTTGAACAGAAACAAACCACTTACAGTACCGTATACCTGGATGCTCCTCATGGTCAACGAACCAACGTCAGCTGTTTCTGTCGGCTTCGTTCTGTCGACACGTTTGCCGGTCCCAGGCTCCTCCGTTGATTGTGATGGAGTGGCAGGAGGAACCGGGGTGGAGTTGCAGGAACCTGGAAGACACAGAACTGCCCAGGATGGGACGCAGTTGGGAGATCGAAGCAGCAAGGGACTATGCAAGAGTTTCATCACTGGTAAAGGCTAAAATGCAACTCTCTTCTCTGGAGCATACTTGCGATGAAACACTCATGTTTTGCGATGAAACACTCGTGGTTCACCTTACATGATGCGCGCGTGCTGAGTGTTCGATAATGCTACCCCAAGGTTGCCCAAACAAATTTGCCAAACCTTATCCCTTGCATTCCTGGAGGGTTGGTTCTGTGCAAACAATAAATAATGGCTGAATAACAGTGCAATACAGTGCATGATGTTGGTCATTTCCAATGCACATGAGTCAAGAAATGCACTTTAAAAGAGAGTGGGCGCAGTTGTCTTCAATCAACTAATGGGAGAACTGCCTCAGCTATAGCAGCGCAAGAGAGGAGGGAGAAGCGCACAGCGCCCGTCCTCAGCGAACGTGGTCAAGCTCTAGAACTTGACCCATCCCCTATGTCTGTAGAAAAGTCTGAACATGTTTACATGTTACATGTCTCATGGCCACGCTTGCCGTTGTGATGCCGGTATGCGATGTCAACCGCTCCAATTCGAGCTTTCCCGGTTTCGCACTGTGTGAAGCTGTCGACATGGACAAATGAGGAACAATGGATCTTGCAAAAACAAAAGACCTCCTCTTCCTCTGCAAACGGAAGCCTCTAAATACCCGTCAATGTCACTGAGAGGGTCTCCCAACTCAGAGGGACAAACCCTGGGGGGTCAATGTCTACTGGCCACCCCAAGTTCAGCGACGTGACGAACTTAGCCCATCGACTTGACTTTGTGGGGTTTCACCCCCCTATCGCAGAAGTCGAACCAGTCAGTCAACGTCGACGTCGACGCCCACGTTCGACCCTTCGCTAGTCCGGCACCGAGGGAAAGTACCGTGACCGAAGAGAGACTTCGGACGGCCACGAAAAGGCCAAGTTCGGTTACAAGCAGAGACTCAAAAAGGGTCACTGTGAAGGTCCCGGTACTTAGATGTGGCATACGTTCGCTAAGATCGTAGAAAATGGATGCTGAGATCTTTGAATGAAATTGCAACTCGTACCGCGATGTTGTGCAACCAAATCGAACCCGTCAACTTAATGGCAAATAAATCTAGAAACAAAAAACAACCTTAAGAACCATTTGCTTTGTAGGAGTTTGCTCCGGAAACTTGTGAAACAGCCAAAATCCTTCAGTTCCACAATACGTTCCTAACATGTACAATAAATATGTGGATACCAACTAAAACGCTTCTAAAATCTTCTAATAAATCAACAATCCAACAATTCCCATGTTTTGTTCCCCAACTTCCTCCAACCTCTACGTACAGAGTGTTTTCTTCGTCCGAGGTGCACGTCCTTCATCTCCGGGAGCACCTCCGCCTGACGTCGCCGCTTGGAGGGCCGCGAGGATGTGGCACCGCCGCCAACCGCGTCCTCGGTGCGAAGAGGTGGATGACGGTTCGGTGGTGGTAGGTGGTAGGTACTTAGTATCGAACATGGACCAAATATGATCAAATAGCTTGAAGAGGTGAAGAAACCAACTGCTTGGATGTTGAAGTCTTTAGTAAATATAGAGATGAAACACTGGGAGAACCCAGTTGCACTGGGCAGCTTCGTTCTGGCTGCAACTCTTGGCACCATTGCAGTCTGTCTTGCTTTGCAAAACCTTTTCTAGCAAGGCATCAATATGTATGTTGTTCTTCTTTAGCGAGCCAGCCCATCGTGTGAACGCATTCCTGTCTATTACCAGCACCTCCTGGTTCTAAATCTGGTGAAGGACAACGTGCTATAATATATATATATATAATTTTCACTGTTCTGAAAACTATGCAGTTGCAAATTCCATGAGTAAACACTCAAAGTAAATAGTCATTGCCCTCCTCACGATTATGGAACGCGTCAGCGGCGTCATCAAACAGAAAATACACCACTAGTAGCTCATGTCATTTCCAGCGACCAGGCACTGCCTCTTCGTCAGGTTCCTGGCGACCAGTTTCTGTCCGCACCACCGGGGCACCAGTCCCGATGTCTGTCCAGTCATATGGCTGAGAGTCAAACCAGGACCCTCGGTGGTTTCAGGGGAGAAGCGGTGTTTTGACTCACTTGAGCATCAAAATGAACATCAAGATGTACATCAATAAACATAGATGAGATCATTTGAGCATCGCAAAACACATGTAGCCTAAGGGCATCACCGAAATAAAACATTCGAATGGGTCGGCTCAAATAGTTTAAGTATGTTTAAGGACTGAGGACACTATACATCCAAAGAATAATCCTTAAACATCCTTTCAGTCCTTTACTATCCTTTACTTAGATGTACAACATCAAAAGGATCACGCAGCTTGGAGCATCCCAGCATCCCTGAATCCGGGTCACCAGGACAGTCACAAGATAAACCTGCTAGACGAAAGGCGAGGTGGCGAGGTTCTAAAGCCGAGTCAGGTTCTGTTTCTTATACTTACTATCATACTGCTGGCTCAAATGGGTTTGGGAACTACACCAGCAACAAAAGAACGCCTTTTCCCGACCGCAGCATCGCGGGGCACAATCTGGCAGGCCTCTTCTGCTTCATTCGGGCCATCATCCTGGAAAACCCGCATGCAGTCGGAAGAAACCGGAATGCTATCAAGCCTCGGAATGTCGTTCAAAAGGCCAGGTGCATGTCGAGAGACAAAACCATGGTAGCCATAGCCATAGCCTTGTATTGAATTCAATCCGGATGTGGTTGAGTGAAACCTCTAGAGAGCCAAACAAAACACGGAACCATCCAGCGTTTGGAAGCAAATACAAACTTTTACTTGGATTCAGCCTGATTCAGCTGCTGAACAAAGACCATGTGTTCATATATATGTGTTCTATTCTTTTCTGCATCCAAATCTCCCACCATGCAATTGAAAAAACAATGCCCACATCTTCGGAGTTTTGAGCCCACTTTCAGCCCACCACTCACAGACTCCTTGTCAATCTCTTGCTCTGCATTTGCCTCGTCGCGCAGCGTGCTGTGCCCGTCACGTTCGCGAAACGTGAAGAAGAAACCAATCACATATGACGTGGTTACTTTGAACCATAAGCTTCCACGACTGCAGTTTTGGCTTCCGCGGGCAAGTTGGAGTTTACAAGTTTGTTAAAACGGTTCATGAGAGGTTTTTGACGCTGCTCGTGTGGAGATGCCTGTTCCACCAATTCCATGGAACACAGCAACAGGGGGCGTGGCCGGGGAACCATATCTGAATTCACCTTTTTGTATACCCACAACCCACTAAAAATGGGACTAGCAAACTAGCAGTTTTCTAGAATGATGCAAGTCTTCTTGTCCCCGACTGTATTGTGAAAGAGCGTGACTGAGCATTACAAAAACATACCAGTATTGGCAAATATCAAAGAACTACTGTATCACATACGTTATACATCCCCACATGCTTTTGACATATTGTTAGGTCAAAATGTTCACACGTATCCAGGAGCCTGTCTGCAACTTGAGAGATCGACCCAGGACAACCCAGAAATCATCTGCAACAGCGCAAGTGCGGTGCGGTGCCTCACCATCATCTTTCAGCGCATTGGTGACTCTGACGAAGGCCTATGCGAGAAAAAAAGATGTGTCCTCTACACGACTACAGCACCGGCACCTTTGATGTGTCCTCCGTAGTGTCCTCTAAATGGCTTAGTTTCTGTCACTGTGCCACTTGAAGGGGATGATGAGGATGACACATACATCATTGACTGATGATCTGTCGTTGCTATTAAAGGTAGCTTGGCAAGCACACGGGCAGTGCCTCCACCCGCAACTGCCGACCGAATCCGATGCATCGCCGCTTAGCGGTCAGGGACGTGCTCTGACAGTGATTAACTGACCAAACACATCTTCCCTGGCTCCTCTACTACTTGAACCTCCAAAAGCTCCTTAAAAGGTCAGAACCGGATTCTTTTTTAGCCGAAGGTGGGCAGTCCGAGTGAACTGACGTTTGGGTTCTCATCATTTCAGTCACTCAGTCAGATTGGTCATTTTGGACCCCTGGATAAATTGACTGTGGCTCTAGATGAAATTATCAATTATCAACTCTTTCAAAAGCCAGCAGTGTGCCACAGTGAAGGACCCTCAAAAAGTATGTCAAGTGCCGGACATCCTCCAACATTTACTGCTCATCAATGAGTGATCAAACGGACGGTTGATGAATCCCAAATGCAAAACATTCTTTTTCCGAATCCTGCCTTGCTATCGAGTCTTTCTCACAGGCAACCGCCCGGGCCCCTCCCGAGGTCGCCAGTGCCTTTAAGCGGTCGCAGGGAAATCCAGCCGCATATTCCGCCACCTGTGTATTCCGCCGTGGCAGGAGGCTGAACGCATGTGAGGAATGCGAGACAAAGCCAGAAGAAAGAACAAGGTGTGTGTGTGTGTGTGTTACGTATCTATTAAAAGTGACAAATCGTGCTGTTTGAGCACACAAGGGGTCTCATGACCTGATTCCAATTGAACTGTGGAACCTTGGACTGACGGTCTTAACAATTTACAGTATTTTTAAGGCATAATTTATACTAAACTGGTCCCAAGCAGTCAGCTTACCCCTACCCTACAAGAACCTGTCAGTCTTGGAACCACCCTCTTAGTACACACAGTAGGGTATTGTCAACAACCTGCTAGTTAGCTCAGTCGAGTCTAATCTTTTAATATGACTTATGCAATGCATCCCTGGTTGGCTCATGTGAAAGAGATTTCAACGATGTCAGCACCAACCCCTCATAAACACTCCAAAGCCGTCCTCGACTCGACATCGCACAAAATGGATCAACCAGTTTCATGCATGAATCAGATGGGCTTGGTCGAGCTGGAGTTAATATACTGTAATATATATATATATACCTTTCATCCCTGGGCTTGAGGTCACTTGAAGAAGCTGGTAGAGAGATCGATAGATAGATAGAGAGAGAGAGAGCACTTAGTTCATTGTTTGATCCACAACCAAGTGGCACCAAACCACACCACTTAGTATTGTATGTAAACATGAAAGCTCCGGTCAACGGGTGGGATGGTAAGGCGATATGCCGAGTACAATGCCGGGGTTGGGAGGCGAAACACGACCACACACATGTAATTAAAAAACTAAATGATTAATTATTCAGTTGGATTTAGTTACCTTATTTATGTCAGATACCGGTAAGTCTTCTATTCCCTTTCTTGTTGTTTCCTTCATATATATATATAATTTAATTATATAAACAATTATAAACCACATAGCACCTGCCTGGACGTAGCGCCTACGCCTCGGAAGCTGAGCTCGAAGTCTCCTAACCTCGACCTAACGTCTATGGAGGTTAGCTCGAGACGCAGCTTTGACTTGGCTGACCTTAGAAGACTTCGTAAGGGGTTGGGTCCGACTTAGCTAAGTCAGAGTCACAGCTAAGTCTCTGTAGTTTGGACTTATAAGTCCGAGCTACGTCAAAGCGAAGTCCCAGCCTTGCCCACACAACATGAACACTGAGAGATGAAAAACTGACATATATTGGCCTTTAGATAAACATCTACGCATCAGAATTGGTCAGATTTGACACTTGTAAGTCGAAGTTGGTCACGCCACTGCGGCCCAAGCAGTGGCGTATCTATGCATGTTCTTACCAAGCATCATTTGCCGAGCAATGGCTAAGTCAACTAAATCCTTACCTAAAACATCCTAAATCTAAGCGTCTTTAACACATATGTTGATAAATCTAAGTTAGACTTACTTAAGGTTTGCCAACCTACGTCCGGGCAACTAGACAAACTTCTGTTGAATGTCCCAAATATCATGACTTATTCACGGTCACTCCAGACATGTCGTGAATCACCCGATTTCTGGGAAGTATCAAAAGTGCAACTCGCCTTCGTCACCTGCGCCCTTCGGACACCATGGAATGCCAGTTGCCTTGAGGATGGAGGCGATGGGACATTGCAGATCCAGTTTGTGCTGCCTGGCTTCGACTCGTCCCCTGATAAAACCCGGAGGCGTGGGTTTAGGGGAGGCTGCAACGCTGCGGAAAAGTTCATCGATCAAGGGGGCCTGGTGGCCAGAGTTCAGGTGGGTTCCCCGCCTTGGGTGTCTCTCAAAAAGGGGAGGACCTGGAGTTTGCCAACGCTGGAACTTGCAAGATAATACACCTGTGCAGCTTTTTGGAAGGGTGTACCACGACAATGTTGACAACCTTCAGTGCAAGCAGCGTAGTCAGTTCTCTGCTGGAATGGCTGATGGATAATAAACTCTATAAGCGCAGGCTGCATGGCCTTAATCCGCCTCAAAACGAAGCATACAGTAGATCAAACATCAAGGTCCCTTCGATGGCATAACCAAAAAGTTAAAATAGGGTCCTGCAGGAGCTGACGGATGACCGGAGAAAGCCCTTTCAATCGTCCAAAAGCCTCCTATGGTGACCTGCACCAAAAAAGAGAACATTGCAGGTGTTTTTTCCCCAAATAGCTGAAAGCTGTAGGGGTTCTTAATGGTTCTTACTTCTCAATGGGTGGCGTTTTGCTCCACCGCTGCCACTGCTGCCTTGTCTCCCTACTTGTCCTTTGTATGCTGCTTCTGCTCCTGCTGCTGCCTTGTCTCCTTGCTTTTTTCTCCCCAATTGTCTCCACTTGTCTCCGCACTTGTCTGACTGTGTGATCAGCTTTTTGTCCGCCGCTGCTGCCTCGTCTCCTTATAACGTGTCCTCCCCATTTGTTTCCTTACATGTCATCCCACTTGTCTGCCTGCCTGATTGCTTTTTGTTGGACCCACTGACTGTCACTGGAAGTGCTCAGGGCTCTTGTTTTGAATCACTATGAATTAATACAAGTACTTGTTTTTATCTGAGGACTATGCCGGTGTCTACAACAATTACCCTCCATCCAATAAACCTGGAAGTGGAGGATGGCCTGTTGCAAGACTGTTTTCCTCTACGATTTTCCATTTCCATTGAGGGAGAAACATGTTGGGGGCCAAACCATGAACATCGCAGTGGGTTTGACCATCCAGCCTGGCCTAGTCAGTGAGATGTTCATCTGAAGGCCCAGATCAGCCCCCTTCACCTGGCGCGCGAGCTGGGCGATTCTGTGCGCTGCGAGTCCAGGTCCTATGTCGCGCCCCATCGTTTGGAGACCAGGTCCCTTTCTTTCGAGCCCTTCAGCTGAAAACAGGTTGTGTTAGAAAGCTGTGCAGTTTGCTAGGCAAAGCAGAACAAGCAAAATGACATGAATCTTATTGGCATCAAAGATTTGCTAAACAGCATCCACGCAGCCCAAGAGCACTGAGTCATCTGCGTCTATCAAATCCGGCAAATGTTCATGCATGGCTGCATGATACCAATTTGCAAATTTTCAAGAGTCAAAGAACACCAAACTACTGCACTTCATTGCCAAGATTACAGCCGGCCCCCGAACCGTGCTTGATTTTGTGCCAAGGTGCTATCTCGAAGACCTTTGGCTTGGCAGTTGAAGCATCCTAGCCCACTCCATCCCATGTCCAGGAAGCAGGGTAGATTATGATGAATCATGTGGCATACCACATCATACCACATCAACGGGGACGGGAGGACGGGACCAGCTTGAGACCTCAGTTGAATCAAAGACCCTCGCAAGCCTGTCAAGTCACACACCCCAAAGCTGCAGGCCAGCTGATGCTAGTGAGCACCAGGTAAATCTTCACCCCAAGGTTCAGCAAAAGAGCTAACGAACTCTTCTGATGAACATCACCCCAACACCCTCTTTGCTGAGGTCCAATGAAGCGGCTGCTCAAAAAAATAGATCTCAAATGGATGCACCACCGGCCATCGGTGGTCAAAGACCACAGAGTCTCCATAGACAACATTGCCCAAATACGATGCTTATCAAGCAACGTGTTGAAGTTCCATTGCTGAGGAACAAAAACATGTATGAGTCCATGTGATCCAAATCCAACCAATCAACGTGGTGGATACCAATCATTGACCACCAATTCAGAGTAGAAGGTGTCTTTTTCACTGCTGAGACCAACTAACTAACATGCTTGAAAAAAGACCCAACTCGCACGCCATCTAAAAAGCCCCCAGCTCGCGACCCCGTCCTGCACTCCACGGGTGCGGTCGAGCTGCCCACAACGATGATCCCTGGGCGCCTCGTCGTAAAACGGCGCATCGATGTAACCGTGGAGCGAAGCACACAGAACAATAGAACTAATAGAACCCAAACATTACCCACCAGGGTGAGAGTGTTGTCTCCCCAAAATCTTCAAAACCTGGATAGTCGATAGACCGATCTGTTTTTCCCCTTTTTGTTTAAGAAATTACAGTATCACTCCCACCCCGAAAAGGCCATGGCCGTTCCTCGCATGGCTCAACGGCCACGGCGAGCTCGCCCGCCGCCCTGATGAGGGCGATCCTTTCGACTCCGCGGTCGACCCCGGGCCTGCCATCCGCTGCCGAAAACCGGACAAAAGGCCAATATTGCAACCAGGTTTGTAGTCTTTGTCCCCCAAACACTCAAGGAACCAGGTCACCTTTCAAGGAAGTTCTCTGGCGAGGTGGTTCTTGGGGTATGGACATGGAGATGTTTGGAGAAGATTCGAAGATGATGTAAAACACAATCAGTGGTTGTTGACGTCCATTAATGAATGATCGAATTTACATTTTACAAAGAAAACATCTGGGAACATCTGAGTAAAATCTGTGAACGTCCCAACAGGTACGAGTATAATCGAGTATGTATATATAAACAACATATAAACAATGTGGAGTCTTTCTACAGCCCAAACAGGCTTGTTCCAACAGTCGAGGCACCTCGTGTCTGTTCAACGTCCGAGCGGCTGAACGGAGCGGGTTTCGCCCGCGAGCTTCCCGGGTGTCCAGCCATTGGTTCTGCGGGGCGGGCAAGTTGCGCTCCAAAGCGGTCCGAGTTGCGGCCCGAGGTGTGGGAGGGGGCGGATGGAAGATGTAACATGCTGTACTTAATCTCCGAACGGCCTCATGGAAGTGGAGTTCACCACCTGTTTGTAGTGAATTTCATGGTCTTCCATGTGAGTTTTCGGGAGTGTAATGTCTCTGCAAGGTTGCCAAATTCAAGACATATCCAAACTGCCATTCTTGGTAGTGGCAAGGTAGCCAACTGTCAAGCGTGCAAAAAGGACAACTGGATTGTTAGGGAATATTCATGTCCGCTTGTACATTGGATAATGTATACAATATAACTATAAACAGTTCGAACTTCCATCTCACCACTGAGATCAATAATCAAGCACTGCAATACACCATCAACATCACCTGGCACAATTTCCTTGCTTTGCTCTACCCTACGACAGACCCAAAAACCATTTCCTGCACGTGTCCAGGTCTTGGGCAACACCCACATTGCGGTGGCACAAACCCATTGGCCTTGGTTCCAAACTGCCTATCTACAGTCCATTCTGTCGCTCGTATCACAACAACGCGAGTCGCGAACGAGCTGGATCCCGTGGATCCGCTGGCGGTTGCGGATCCAAGGGAGCACCCAGAAAGCACGGATTCTGGAGGAAGCTTGCTGAACAAAAATGGTTTGCCAAATCATCACTACCAAGCCTTGTTTTTCAATTATACATCCATCCCCAAGTCCCTGGTTCACGCTCAAACCGAGAAGAGCGCTAAACAAAAAAAGGCTGCAATCTGATACCTTCTGACGTATGTAGTACAACAGTAAAAGCCACGAGTATTTGGAGAACTGGAGGGGCGGACTGACTATCAGGACATACCGACCTACCCAAACATACCCCATATTTCACAAACTGATCAGCAGCAATTGACAACATTGCCTAGGCACCAATCCAAGAAACAGCTGGAGCTTCACAAATGTGCAGGAACACCATCAACAAAGTCCAAGGCACACATCCTTCGCAGAACCAGTGGCACCTGCGTAGGATCAGAATCAGCACGGAATTTCACCCAGAAAAATTGTTCATGATATATATATATATAATGATTCAAAGTTGTTGCAAGAATTATATAATCTTACTTGGGAAATCATGATTGAAGCCTTGTTTTCTTGGTAGCGAATGGAATTGAGGGATTTCTACAAAACACTCGAACACACCATAACACACTCAATCACACACAACACCATTGAACGCAAGTCACCCAGAATCCAGTAATCAAGAATAGCCGAATGCCCTATTACCAACCAGCAGCTGCCTAGGGTCTAGAGATTTGCAGGCATAGTCAAGATGGTGAGGCCAGGTCTTAATTAACTCTAAACAATGAGGAGAGCGCCATCTGCGGCGCCTGACAATGGATGTCTGCTTCACCCTCATTCGGAAGTCCCCTATGACCTCCAGCTTCTCCTGCCCCAACGAAACGCCGATCCAAGACTCTCCACATGACGCATGAATCTGGATAACTACTGCTGCAGAAATAACTGTTGCTTCTGCTGCTACTAGAACTACTAGTGCTCCGATTAGAACAAATTGGTGGTCAAAGTCAAAGGACTTGAAATCAGCCCAAACTGTACCATCAGGTACTTCCGTATATTACTCCACTTCCACTGCTACAAAGAGGCCAAAGTAGCTCCCTGCCAATAGAACATGTATTTTCCATTCATTTTCCAGCCTATCATTTATAAGAATTTGACACGCCAGCGCATACTTCCCCCCCAGCACATACGCGCAGGGAACCCTCTCCCGTTGCATCCGGACCACGGTCCTGCGGCGTCAAGAGCGATCGTCGGTCCACCACCTCAGGATCGGAGAGACGATGGGTGAGAGCGGTGAGACCGATCGGGGAGATGTCGGACATGGGAGATGGACTCCTTCAGTCCTTTGGCCAGGTTGAAATGGTCAGTCCTTCACTCAAACAGGTTCAAAATGATTCAGCCACTGGGCCACTGGGTGAGGAGAACATCATCCAAGAACCAATCGTCGCTTTAAAAACACAACATCCTTGATATCATCACCCCTCATACCAACCATGGGCACTGTCTCCGGAAATGGATCACGAAATCCCTGACACCCCGGACCATTTTTCCCTTGGAACATGTTAGGTTAAGCAAATCTTCCACCCGTTGGATCTTCCGGTGTCTCCAATCTCAGGCAGGTGACCCAGGTAGGGACGTGCTTTCTGTGGTTTTTCTTTGGGTGTGAAGGATGGCTCCCTTGGCCTCTGATGGTCGCCGTCTTCCAAGGTCCCGGCGCCCAAGTTCATGAGGGCCTGCACGGGACTGGCACAAGGGACTCACAGGGACGAATCTTGGAACGACCTGACAGAAGCCAAAGATCAACCTGAGAGCCTGAGAGCTGGTTGCCTTCTTCTCGATCTTCTTTTTGTTGGATTCTTTGGGATTCTTGCCTTTGAGGTGTCAGCTACCCGGCTTTTGCATGTGTTGCTCACGTTGAGCCTGTCAGCATCGATATGGTACCCTCTCTCTTCTCGCCCACCGAATCACCCGTATCTCTGACCTAAGTAACGTACTTAGTAACTTTGAACGTTGATCAACGACCTGGGCAGCCCAGGCCATTGGGGGAACATCTGAGAAAAACGAGCTCGATCTATTTTACCAGCGAGAACCTGCCCGAATCCGCTGTATTTTGTTCCAATGGCAAAGGGCTGCTTATCAAGGAGGCATGCATTCGAGCGCGGGGAAACCAAATCATCTTCAGTTGAAACATGTTGAAACAATGTGATGTAGCTGCGCCAAGTTGGCCCAAACTCTGAGGAAAGGTAGATCCTGTCCAATATCTAACCATGAGCACCCTATCCCCACAAATCCAAAGTGCAGGTGCTTGAATCTAAATAAGTTGACATGATTGAATATGTTTGTATCGCAAACAAGGCAACCATCAACTGGCTACTCAGTGCTACTCAGCATTCACATCCGAAGAGCGCCTGCAGCTGATCCTCTGGATCGCGGATGGCGCCCTTCTGACCTACCAGGGCTCGGGCGAGCGCAGCTCGAGCGAGCGCAGGCTGAGTGACTTCTGCAGTGACCCGCGACCCAACAACTACGGGCCCATCTTGGATTTGCGATACCTGGAGCCAGGAACAGCATGGACCTTTTCTGGAATTCTCCAAGGAATCAAACCATGATTCTTTCCCCCGAACTGACTTCAAGGCGTTCTGTGGTCATGCGGTGATGCCTGGGTCCTGTGGCAGCAGCAGCCCGTCTGCGGACGTGTCCTCACAAGTGGATGTCAACTGGGTCAAGAACGCAAGAAGAAGAGTCTATCGACATGTGACAACACAAATACGTCAGCAAAACATAGCGAAACAGGACTAGTGCTGTGGGGGACGGACGCTTCAATTGAATTTTTTGGCTCTGAGGTTGGACATATATGTTGTTCCTAGACAACCATTCGATACACTTTCTTCTGTTCCACCCTACTTTCAATTAGTTTTTCGTGTTTGCAAATTCGACACGGAGAGAATTCGGGCAGTTAGAGCAATTTGCTGGCATCCAAGGGTCCATTTGATCATTTGGGATCAAGCTCATATGCGAGCGCTGGTTCCTGGAGGTGCGCCACTGCAAATTCGATTGACCTGAAATACAAATTGTTTCTCTTAGATACCGCAATTGCTGGTGCCAGGCGGCGCCCTCCTATCTCCGATCCCAAGCTACAGAAGCCGACCAAGCCAGGCCAAGCCATCTCTCTCCTTGCTCTTGAGGTCCGATTGCTCGATGGCACGCCAAGGCCTTTCCTGTGGAGGGCCCATGAAATCCATGGACTTCGGTAGGCACTAGGTGATAGGTAGATCATAGGTCAGCACAGGAACGATGCCTTTCCCGGTGTTCCACAGGAACAGTGGAGAAACCTTTTTTGTTCGCGTTTTGGAAGGGTTCAACGTCTCGTGAAGAATCGGGCTATGAGATGTCCAAGATATACATTTATATATTGTGTATATATGATATTATATATAGATATGGGCGGGTGTGTATTGTAATCTATTTAACTAGGGAGACCCCACAACCGGGGGGATTGATTCACTGTTTCCAAGAAAGGGCACCAAAGAATCCCTTTTTCTTGGCCTGAAAGGAAACAGTCATGCATTGCCTCGCCTAGCCCCCAAGCTTCAGGGGCGAACAAAACTGATGCTGGTCAAACAAACTATGCTTCCTGGAACTTTGATGGTATTGGTGGATCAACACCTTTCTGCAAGAATTCAGTAAAAATAATTGGGGGTCATCCTGTCAGTCTGGGGTATGTCACGCATGGTGCTGTTGGAGACAGAACCAATCAAAAAATGTAAAATACACATCGAACCTTGAGAGATCATTCTCCCATCTGCATGGATGGGTGGCCATCAAACTTGTGCAGTGCTTTCAGAGTAGATGGCACAATCCCCAAGTTTGGTGGTTTAATACGGACCATCTGTCCAAGACATCATGGGGTGCCAGGGCCATCGAACCTCTGATGGCCCACTGTATACATACCCAAACACACAACCGATGGGAACCCATGATGGGACTGGATCATACGCAGTGCCGCAGTCCCATTCGTTGGACCAAACAACCACCCCAATGTATATAGGCATTTCTGTGGCGGTCCCACTACCTATGAGTCTGGCATATGACCTGAATTCGTCTGAGTTGGGTCGGGTGTTACTTCTGTTTTCCCCAACGACTTGGAGCCGACATGTGAACCCTGTCATCTTCACACCAAACTATATTGAACATATTGATGTAGCATAAACCCCCCTGTATCTTCTCAATCTGGAGTTGAGCTCGCTTCATCCGAGCCTGCACATGCAGCATCAAGGAGTCGGGACGGCAGCCGGTGAGCGCCTGCAAATGCACAAAGGTCAGGTCCTAGCCTGGTCCTTGGAGTCCTTGGCTCATTGAGTAGTGTTTCTGTAAGATCAACTTCAGTATAATGAGGTCAGCTCCTGACCTGTAGGGCCTTCCTGACCTGTAGGGCCTGTATATAGGGTATGGTGAGGAAGTCTGCAAAACTGTTCGAACGCTTCGCGTGCCCGAGAGGCCGAGGCCAAAACCAGGGTGCACCGGTTGCTTCCTGCCCCGAGTTAAGCCGCCCAAGTTCAACGCCTTGAACTCGGTCGTGTGGAACTTCTCACCTCAAGGAATCGCCTCTTTAGGCGAGAACGACATGGCCAAACGGGTTTCAATCAGGGCACTGGACCGCAATGGCCTTGAGGGAATTCTTGAGATCTTGAAGGTGTTAGTTAGTGTAGGTGTGGACGAGTCCGGCGCTTTTCAGCTGAACTCTTTGGGAACTTCATGGCACGAACATGAATCTTGGGTGGGCATCCTGCAACAACATCCTTTTTGAAACCAAAAGTGTTTCAAGGAATCTTCTCTGAACCCAAAACTGCTGTGTTGGGATCGTTTTGGTACTCAATCGACGTTCCCAGCTCAATCGAAGCACATCCAAATCAATGGCATAATGGCATAGCTCAATCATCCAAATCAATCCAAATCGGTTGGACAAAAACACATTCGTCACCGAGACACCGAAAGTGTAGCTCTTCTCACTCGGACGCGCCAGCCTCGAGTGCAACGACTTGAGCGAACTCTGGCGGACGAGAAGGGGCCCAGGGGCAGCGCCTTTGGTCGGTGGAGGGTTTCGCCGCGCTCCCCACATCCTGCTGCATGGTGGTGGCCATAAACCCATATATACCCATATAAACCCGCATAGGACTCCAACAACCTGAGACACCTGCCAGGCCAAACACAAACATTATGAACCAATTTGTACATATATACTATTGTATACCATGTAACATCATGCAACCATCGTTTCAGCACCCCAAAGTGAACTTCAAATCTCCCAACTCATCGTTGCAACCCCCACGTGAACTTCGAATCAACCACTCGAAGGAAAGCTGTATAGACCAAAACCCACTGACCCCGAGCCGCTCGAGACGAAGCGTCGGAAATTCAGAAACGAGCCCCGGCTCAGCTCGCCCGGGGGGGTTGGGAGTCAAAGCGGGGCATTGGAGGCTCCAAGCCTGCCCTTGGGTTCACCGAGAAGGGATGGGGCAGGATATGGCAGGGTAGATGCATGGATGCAAAGCAGTGACTGATCGCTTCGAGTTTCTGCAAGCAAACAGGTGCCATGCGGGAATGGTGGTTTTGTCACAACAAAACAACCATTTTTTAGACAGGTTCACATGTGCCTACAACACGTTGTAACTAGCGGTTCACGGCCATCACGAAGCCCGTTGCCCGTCTGGCAGTTCGCCAATTCGGTTCCTCGTTCCGAAGTGGCCCTCCGGCCTGATATCCTTCAATCTCAAGAACATCTGCAAATCTTCGACTCAGCAGCGCCCGTGGCATTTTCGCGGAGCACGGAGCACGGACAGACGACAGACGAGACTGATCTCTGTGGTCGTTCGGAAGTTTAGAGTGGTGTGGTTAAAATGAGTTCGGGTATCTCTCTCCATACATACATACATACAGTATATATATATATATATTTCCCGAAAGCATTGCGAAGGGTTCTTCCGGAAAATCCCTTGAACACTGACACTTCGACACTTACACTTACACACT